TTCAAGAGCTTGCAATGACCATGGTGGAGCTTTGGAATCTTATGGACACAGCAGTTGAGGATCAACAAAAGTTTCAAAACGTCACACGAACTATTGCTGCTGCCGAACATGAGATAAAAGAGCCCAACAGTTTATCCATGGAGTTAATTGATAATGTAATTTTCTAAATAATTTTATCTTGCTAGTATAATGTACCATTCCTTTCTCAACTCCTTTTCACGAGAACCCCACAGTTTCATGTGCAAATTCAAGTAATGTACATTATTCTTTTGTTATACTTAGGCTGAAGCTGAGGTATCAAGGCTGCAAGAGATGAAAATGAGTAAAATTAAAGAAGTTATTTTGAGAAAGCAGGAGGTTTTAGAGGAAATATGCCGAGGAGCGCATATGGTTGTTAATGCACAATTTGGAACTGATCACCCTGTGGAATCTATTGAGTCAGGTACCTTATGTTTTCATTAGAAAAAAGCTATCTATTTTTTTTTTCTTCCTTTCTTTCGTTTTTTTGGAGAAGGAATGTGTCTGTCTGAGCACCAACTGGACTTGCCATTCCAGTTACCTCTGTTTTTAATTTTATTAGAATCTTGCAGGGGCAATTACTCCATCTGATATATTAGACCAATTGGAGTTCCAGATTTCTGAGGTTAAAGAAGAAGCTTTCAGTAGAAAAGAGATACTTGAGAAGGTTCAAAAATGGTTAGCTGCTCGTGAAGAGGAAAGCTGGCTGGAGGAGTACAATAGGGTTTGTCCTAATGTTGCTTACATCATTTTAAATTTTATTTCGCTTCCTCCCTCCCCTTGTATAAGAGTATTTCTAAACCAGGATGACAACCGTTATAATGCTGGGAGAGGTACACATCTTATGCTAAAACGCGCTGAGAAAGCTCGTGTGATTATTAACAAAATTCCAGGTACTCTTTGTTTTTTTTTTCTTTTCAATTAGCAAAGGAATCATCATGTTAACTGCATTTTAAATGAATGTGCACATTAATAAGAACTCTGTTTCAACTTCAATTGAGGTGTATTCAGTCTAATGGAAATTTACTAGGTGTATTTAGTTCTTTTGTAAAAACAAAAGATAACAGATTCTGAACTTTCCCAACTTCTTACTTTTCTTCTTCTATAGTCAGTAGAAGGTGCCTGGATAAAACAAACCTGTATTTGTTGCATTACTATTACTATTTTCACCTAAAATTTGATGAGCATATTTTACAAGTTTGTCGCTTGTCACATGTTAATTCTTTAGCTGAAACAAAGTTCTGTTACCTTCAGGAATTACATAGTTGTGATACACATCGTATTGGTGGTGATTATGTACTTCCTTTTACGAATATCTAGGAATATCTCACATTTTGGCATTTACTGCCTGTCAAATTATACTTACTCATTTTCTTTTATTTATTGGTGTAAAAAAAGCAATGTTGGACACGCTCAAATCAAAAGTAAAAGCTTGGGAGCAAGAAAGAAAAGCAGAGTTCCTGTATGATGGTGTAAGCACTATTTCTTGGACTTGTCAAATTTACTTCTTTGTGGTCAATATATTTATTTCGTTGTCCTTTATCTAGGTTGGTCTACTATCCATGATCAACGACTACTGTGAACTAAAGCACTTGAAAGAGCAAGAGCGTCAAAAGCAGAGGGTATGCAACATATACTAATTAATTCAAACATCAATGATAAATTTGTTTGAGCTTACCAAAACTAAAAGATCGACAATTTTTTTCTGCGCTCGTAACCACATTATATTAGGATCAGAAAAAACTTCAGGGCCAGCTAATGACAGAGCAAGAAGCAATCTACGGATCAAAACCGAGTCCATCCAAAAGCAGCAGCAAGAGCTTTAGACCCTCGACTGGAGGATCAGCTGCTTGTAAACGATTTTCATTAGGAGGGGCAGTGCTTCAAAATTCGCTTTCTGACAAATTAGCACATCCTTCTCGTTCTCTTGCCAAGAACAAGAACAACAGTATAAAGCGGCAGCCCCTTCACGGCCATCATCTCCACAGTGGTTTAGCAGCGCCCCATTCTTCCGGTAAATAAAATGTTGACAATTGTTTGAGTTTTTTAAAGAGAAGCAAGTTTCGATTATTATCTTGGATTTTAATCATGTCTGATAGAGTGTGTGAGCCTGATGACTTGGCACAATTCCTGATTAGAGTTTGGAATTGATGTTATGCTGGTGTAGTTGGGCATAAAATAATTCTGATAGCCTAACTGATTATGATCACATTTTCACTATGTGTAACTATAAAACAAATCCTGCCCCTGAGGTTTGGCATAATTTTGAAAAAATAAAACTGAGGTTTCTGAAAATTATGAATATTTCCTTTAGGTTCGATGTTGTTTTGCACGGGGTGGTTGAAATATATTTATATATGTCCAGGAATTATTTTCTTTATCATTTCTCCTTGTAAACGCAAAATGTAGAAATGGATTCCTATGAGTCACCCTTATTTTGTTTCGTCATTTTTTATTTTCATACATTATAAACTTAGAAAGTGATAAAAAATTAGTTTATATTGCATATATTTGATAATTTGAATTTCCTATTATCCTTTATATTAGAAAACTATTACATAATAATAAATATTTTAATTACAACACAACAGAAAAAGAACACACACACACACCCTCAATAAAAAAAAAGAAAAAATAAATAATTGAATTTTGACAATCATATTATCTTGATTCTTGATACAGGCAAGCCAGTCATCCCCGGCAGACCCATCAAACACCAGTCGAGCTACGCATCAAACTCAAAACTAACCGAGCCATCGACCCTGAGAAAAGCTCTCTCTCCACTGTCCTCCATATGTTCTAACATCATCACCTCCTGCAATAACATCGACTTTCCCGAAAACACGCCACAACAAATGGCTCTTAATAAACCTTTGACTCCTCCATCATCAGCCACAACAACCCCAACTAAAAATGTCTCGATTTATGATGAGAACCGAACGCCTAAAACGATGCCGGTTCCTGTCCCGTGCACTCCCCCAACAGCATCCAATGCCATGCAAACGGCCATGACACCTTTCACGCCAGGCAGGATTGGCAGTGCTGAGGTGGAGTATTCTTATGAGGAGAAAAGGGCAGGTTTTGTTGTGCCTAAGTCTTACTATCATAGGCAATTGGCTTTGGTCTGATGAGGTGAATCTATATTTCATTAGTTTGTCATGCTCCAGAAGTTGATATGTGCATGGGCCTTTCTTTTGTGGCTTGGAGCTGTACAGGATGGATCTTTTTCTTTGTGTTTGCTCGTCTAGGTTGGCATTAGTTTTAGGTGTTAAAAAGAGGGTTATGTTTGATACTGTTTACTGGTATTTTGTGGCTCTTATCTTTGAGAGCTTCTGGCTTTTGTCTCGTACTGTTTAGGAATTTTCTGATCACGTGGAATTTATCGTGGATGACTAATTTGAATCTGAAATTTGCAATTTTTGCCCAATTTGAAACTTGATAATGTACGCAGATTAATTGTTTACAGTTGCAGTAGCAAACTATTGAAATCAAACTTCCTTTGGTTCATGTTGATGCTTACGAAATGTAATTATGGCGAACAAGACAACAATGATGAAATTAATGCATGCATTTCTTAAGCTTGCNCGTATTTCCGTGTACCTTATGTCCTAGCTTTGCTTATGCAGGTTATTACAAATTATAGTAGATAAAAAAGGTAAAACTTATCACGACTTCTTGATAAGTCAATGAACACGTGGCGTGTATTGAGGGTCAACTACATGCAGAGATAAGCGGCAGCGCGTGCGACACGAAGAACGCTCTGTTGGTCAAGAAATCGGTACAAGAAAGCTTCATGTGGTCAGTGTTAAAATCGGGACTTTGGCCATGAATTGAGGAGGGTGGAGTGTCGATCTGACACTCAGAAAATTGGTGTACGGTGTTAATGGTAGTCCATGTCAGCGCTGAAATAGAATACCACATTAGGTTGAATACACTCGATGAACAAGCTGGATAGGTCGGGCAAACCGACTGGTCGAACATAAGCACATGGAGACCGATTGGAGGTTGAACGTCAATATAAAACAAAGTCTTCAGGTTGAGGAGGACATTGGAGGTTTAAATAACACCAATAGGTCGGGTTAGGGCTCGGACAGCCTGGTGGAAACTCGATCTGAAGTTATGATTGGTCGTGTAATCGACCAGAAGAACATGGCACGTAAGCTTAACATACTCAACATTCTACGTCGACGTGATTCGGGCTAGTCGCACGATTAGGCATTCTAATAAGGCAAACTAATGGATAAGAAGTGATTAACAGGATAAGGACCACGTGTGGAGAAGGCCATGTGGCCTAACATAATTGGGCAGCTCCGACAGTACGGACGAGCTGTTCGGGTAGTCCAGGCATCTCACTCGGGCAGTATTGAGCAACAAGGTAATATCTCCCTATAATAGGGAGTGAGGTATGCCCTTCAGAACATTACATTCTCTACACTTACATATTGTTCATCATCTTCTATATCTTACTAACTTAAGCATCGGAGGCTCTTCACTGGAAACTCATCCGACATCGAGTTTTTACGGTTTTTGAAGTCATCTACCGACGAGGAAGCCAGATCAAGTCGAAATCGAGCCAATCGAGGGTCTTTTCATACCATTTTGCGTCATCTGTGGAAAATTGTTCAGAAAACCATTGAAGCTACATCATTCATGGCGAATGAAGTTCTCAGAAAAATTAGAGCCAACTTTTGATGACGTGTGGACGAAGCCTACCATCAGGCTTCTTCGGACCACTTCAGACCCCGGTGACCCCAACGCCTCATCCTATGGACTTAGAGAGCTCATCGGTGGTCCCAGTCACAGTAGCAGGGCTAAGAAACCCTCCTGAGGCTCGAACAACCCAGGAAGTCACAAATCTAGTCTAGGTGCAGCCGGAGAGAACGATGTCCCAGGTGATGGGGCCATCCAGGAGTGAGATCGAGCGAGGACAGCTCGTCAGGATGTCTAGAGAGGAGCTCAGGAAGATGATAGCAGACTCCATTGCAGCTAGAGCAACCCAACAGACGACTCATAAAAAATCCCAGGCGACCACCGCACTGACTACTGTGGTAGGGACGAACAGGCAAGAGACAAAGATGGATAAGTCGAGAAGCCAAGACACTAGAGCACATAGAGATTGAGCTGTGGAGAGAATGGCAGAGTAGATCCGCCACCTGCAGGCGAAGGTCGGAGGGAAAACTGTGGGCCGAGCTCGAGGGCATCCCTTTTCTCAGGAGATCCTTGATGCTGCACTACCAACCAACTTCAAGGAGGCCAGTCTGACATATGATGGTTGACAGATCCGTCGAGGCATGTGATGTCGTTTGAAAATATGGTTGTGTTACTTGGATATTCGGATATTGTATGCTGTCGAGCTTTTCCTAGCTACTCTAAGGGGAGGAGCTCAGGATTGATTTCACTAACTCCCCCCAGGGTCGGTGAAGAACTTTGAGGATTTTTCGAGCTTATTCTTGAATCAATAGGCCAGCGCAATAGCTCAGGAGAAAACCTATTTGACGTTGATGGCGATGAGACAGGAAGAGGGCAAATCTTTGAGGAACTATGTGGCTAGGTACAATCGAGCTTGAGTGGAGATACCTTCAGCCTCGAAAGAGCTCAAGGCTGGAGGTCTGATTAGGAGTTTACGGGCTGGTCCATGTCGCGGCTCTCTTGCTATGCCACCGACAGAACTTACGATGAGGTGTAGAAGAGATGAAAGAAATATGTGAACATGGAGGAGACCGAGGAGGAGTTTTTAAACTCGAGCAGTTGGCTCAACCGGAGTTAAAAAGAAAAGGGCGAACTCGCACAAAAAGGATAGGTCGGAGAGGAGAAGGGATGACAGGTGGCAAGATCGACCTTTGGAAAATGGTCAAAAGTATGAGAAGTACTCACCCTGAAAACACCAATTGTTGAGGTGATCGAAACGATTGAGAGAATGTTGGATGAGCAAATGATGAATTGGCCTAAGTCGAGAAGGGACGAGCCAACACAGCCGAAATCTTGTCATTGTTGTAGGTTTCATCGTGACTATGGTAACACTACAGACAATTGCAGACATTTGAAGGATGAGATTGAGAAGTTGATTAGGGAAGGTCACCTCAAAGAATTTGTGTATAAGGACATAGAGAAGAAGAAGAGAAGAGGATATCGTGAGGATCGGGATGATAGAGAGGATTGAGATGATAGAGACAACGAGGACGATCGAGACGACCATGGTGGTCGAGGTGGTGGAGAAAAGCAAGGCCGAGGATGGAAAGATCAAACATTCGAGGAGGATGAGGCCCCACAGACAATAGGTGTCATTCATATGATTTCTGGAGATCCCACGGATAATACGAGGAAAGAGCATGCTCGGGCTGCCAAGCGGAAGGGAGAGAAGGTCAGTATTGCAACTCGAGCACGTGTGATTAGATTTAAAGATGAGAATGTTCAAGGATTGCACGTGCCCCCACAATGACGCATTGGTGATTAAGGAAGAGGTGGCAGGGTATGACGTTTAACGGGTCTTTATTGATATGGGAAGCTCAATCGACGTTATGGTTTATGATTGTTTTAGGAAGATGGATTTGAATGTTGAGTTGATAGAGGTTGTCGCGTCACTCTATGGCTTTATTGGGAGTGAGATCGTTCCCATGGACGAGGTCGCTTTGTTGGTTGCCTTAAGGGTGGGGTCGACTAGGAAGGTGGAGATGATGAGATTTGTGGTGGTTAGTGTTGAATCTACATACAATATTATCTTAGGGAGGACGAGCTTGAATGCTTTTCAGGTAGTGGTCTGACCTATCACCTGGCGATTAAGTAACCGGTCAGAGAGTTTGTGGGAGAGGTCGTAGGGGACCAACTTACATTGAGGACATGTTATCAAGTTACTGTGAAGACTAGCAGAAAGAATGCAAGGAGAAGGGAAGTCCCGAAGGAGGAGGGAGTTGGTAGGCCGATTAGTTCGAGGAAAGTAGAAGAAATGTCGAAGGTAGACAAGGGGAAGAAGAAGGTGGATATCCAACCAGACGAGGAGATTGAGGAGGTCCAAATGATCGGGGGGAGTGATGATAAAATTTTTTAAATTGGAGCAAAATTGGAGAATCCTCTTAGATCAGAACTTATTAGTTTGGTGTGAGAGTTTGCAGATGTTTTTACTTACACATCAGAGGAGCTCACGAGCATTGACGCAAATATCATCAAGCACCGGTTGAACATTGACCTCAAGGTTCAACCGGTGCGACAGAAGATATGCCATCATGGAGTCGAGATGGATAGTATTATCAAGCAAGAGATCGATAAGTTGATCAAGGCGGATCATGTCGTCGAAATCCAATTCTCGGAGTGATTTTCCAACATCGTAATGGCGTCCAAGTCGGAGGAGAAATGGAGGATGTGTATTAACTTTAGAAACCTCAACAAGGCATTCCCCAAAGATCATTATCCATTGCCAAGGATCGGCCAGCTGGTCGACTCCACAACCGAGAGTGAGCTATTGAGCTTAATGGATGCTTCGCAGGGTTATCATCAAATTCCCTTGGCAAATGAAGACAAGAAACGGGTCAACTTCGTTACAAGTAAAGGACCTAGTACTATGTGGTCATGTCGTTTGGCCTAAAAAGCGCAGGGGCGATGTATTGAAATCAACATCACAACAAATTGTTACACTTGCAGTAGCAAACTATTGAAATCAAACTTCTATTGGTTTATATTGATGCTCGGAATCACATCACAACAAATACAAAATGTAATTAAGATGAAAAAGACAAAAATCTGACGAAATTAATGCTAGATTTTATTAAGCTTGCAAATTTTTTTTGTGCACTTTTTTTGTGCTCTAACCTTAGTTATGCAGGTTATTACAATTTATGCGGGATAACAAGGTAAAAGTTATCATGACTACTTTATGAGTCATTGGACATGTGGAGTATGTTGGAGAGTCAGTTACATCCAGAGTGATTAGTGGCAACACGTCTTTTTGGGGATGAGACATTAATCTGGTTCGTTAGCGCAACCATGTTCACATTTGATGGTGACATTGGCACGAAGAAAGTTTTGTTGGTGATGAGGTCGGTGCGAAGGAAGCTTCATGTGGACGGTGTCGAAATCGAGACTTTGGCCATGAATAGCATGTGTCGATGTGGCTTTGAGGAGTGTGAAGTGCCGATCCGACCCTTAGAAATTGGTGTACGGTGTTAATGGTACTCCATGTCAGTGCTATAACAAATAATTTAATCATTAATTTAGATCGACAAACAATATGCCTAAGTACGTTTTCCCAGTGTCTTCCCCAGTGGGGCCCTCTAGGCCACCACGACGGTAGCCGTCGCTGGGTTTTGCGGCTCGATAATTAGAGAATTATCGCTCGAGACTACTTCTTTTTTGCTAGTGGAAATGGATGGTCGTCACTCGTGTGGGTCTCGACGTCAACCTAGTTGCCATGGCGGGGTGAAGGTTCGACGGCTCCCCAGGCGCCTTGGCGGTGTGATGAGAATGAACGTTTAGACGCCAAAGGACACAAAGGGTCGAGGGCGGAGGCGACCGCACGACACCGAGCAAATGCACAAAAAAGTGCGCACATGGCTGAAGATACGTGCGCGAGCTCAAGGAAGAGGTGCACAAGCACAAGGAAGGCAACGCGAGCTGATGCGAGTAAGACAGCACATGTGCAAGAAGGCACGCGTATGGCAGCGCGAGCATACGCTCAAGACGGCAGGGAAGCACAAGTGCGCGCGCGCGCAAGACAACGAACACCCGACAATGATGGCACACGAAGAAACGCAGGGATGGGAAGCGCCAACAAGATGGATGACGGTGCTGGTGAGCGGCAAGGCGACTCACCAGATGCGGGGAAGCAACACGCGAGCGAAAAATACAGTGCGAGGCATGGGAGCGTAGTGCGCGTAAGAGTGGCGTACACGCAGCCATGCACACATGTGCATGCATGGGGGCGCTAGGCCGAGGTTCTCACGCACGGGCGCGGCATGGACGCACGCACGCAGCGGATAGCTTGAGGATCAAGTTGGCCGATTCTTTTAGAAGGACAAGGGGCCGAAAATATTCTAGAAGGGTTGGTCGATTATGCCTTAGATTATTAAATTAATTGTTAGTTTAATTATTTTAGATGGATAAGAATTTTATGGCAATTCTTAGATGTTAGATATTTAGTTTCCTTAAGTTAGTAGTTTAGTCTCTTACGATTAGTATTTTATTCCTCATAGGCTTAGTAGTTATTCTCTTTAAATAGCCTATGTATTCATCTCAATTTTCCATTCAAGTAGTAAGATAAAAGAAAAACCATTCGCAAGAACAAACTCTCGTATGTTTAACAAAGACCATCAGTGCATTGTTATTTGTTATCACACAACCGTGTCGAAAGAAGGCCTATTGCATGCCTTTCGTCACAACTATCGCGAAGTACCAAGTCGTCGGCGTGGTTATTAGAAAACTACCGCGAGGAATCAAGGTGGTTGGCACGGGTTTGACGCAAAACAAGGTATCAAGATGCATGGTCTTCATCATTAGTGCTTTCATTGAGAGAAGTTGATCGTGTATCAAGGTATTAAAAAAGAAAAGAGAAAGAGAGTGATTGCCGTGGGAGAGTGATGTTTCGTTCTTTGAGTATTGGTCGTGAGAGATACAAAATAAATATTTATTTTGTGTGAAGCTTTGATCGCATTACGAAAAAAAAATAATGGTTGATTGTGTAAGGAATTAGCCGAGAGTTGAAAGGAACAATTTCCTTTGGAATTGGGATTTTCATTCCATTTATAAGGAATTAGGATTTGTTTTTATATTCAGGAATTGAGTTTCCTATTGGGGTAGGAGTAGGATTTTCTTATATATTTATTAGTTGAGGGTGTTGATTGCAGTATATAAAAATAAAAATCTTTTTTGAGCGTGAATCAATATGGCGACATCGAGCAAGTTGAGGCCAATACCGGCCGGGGTTTGGAGAATATCTTTGGAGGAGATGTATCAATGAGAAGACAAGGGTTTATGTTTTACTTGCGATAAAAGAATTGTGTTGGGCCACAGAAGCAAGTCGAGATGACCGTTTATGATTGAGATCGACGAGGAGCCATCAAGAAACCCAAGGGGTGGAGGACACATGGCCGAAGAACGGCACGAGGAGTACTCGTTCTCGTTCTAGTTTTGGGGATTTTCGACGAGGAGCCCACTTTTCCATTCAAGTTTCTAGGGTTTTTCGATGAGGAGCCCACGTTTTCATTCGAATTTCCAGATACTTTGACGACGTGGAGGCCACCAAGCTGGTGGACGAGCAAGCCTCAACCGATTACAATGGCCTACCCATCTTCGATATTTATTTCGAAGATGCCAAAGAAGTAGAGGCTGAGGAGGAATTTTTTGAGGAATTTGAAGAGGGCTGTGAGGAGAAGACGCACATGGAGGACGATGCGGATGGTGAAGAGGAGGTGCCTCGGTTGATGCCCGATGATGAGTCCTTGAGGACAAGGACATATTCAAAGGGGGCGAAAATAATGAGAAAGGTTTGTATGCTCAAGGACGCAAAGGTTTAAGGGCGGAGGCGACCGTCCGTGATCGAGCGAAGGCACAAAAAGGTGCGACATGGCCGAGAAGACGTGCGCGAGCTCAGGACGAGGTGCGCAAGCACAAGAAAGGCGACGTGAGATGTTGCGAGCAAGGCAGCGCATGCGCAAGAAGGCCAACGTATGGCAGTGTGAGCGCGCGCGCAAAGCAGCATGACAGTGCAAGCGCGCGCAGCACATTGAGCACGCGACGTCGATAGCATGCAAAGCAACACGACCGACACAGGCGCGGGCAGCGCCAGCGAGATGGACGACAACGCTCGCGAAAGGCAAGGCAACTCACCATGTGAGAACGCAACAAGCGACGCAGGAAACAGTACGCGCGCAAAAATACCGCGCGAGACATGGGCTCACAGTGCGCACATGCGCGCAGGTGCACGCTCGCGGGCGCGAGGCTAAGGTCTGGCTTATAGATCAAGTTGGCCAATTATTCTAGAAGGAAAAAGGATCGAAAATATTGTAGAAGGGCTTGCCGATTATTTCTTAGATTATTATATTAATTGTTAGTTTAACTATTCTTGATGGTTAGGGATTTTATGGTAATTCTTAGATGTTAGATATTTAGTTTCCTTAAGTTAGTACTTTAGTCCTTTTTTATGATTAGTATTTTATTCCTCATAGGCTTAGTAGTTGTTCTCTTTAAGGAGTCTATGTATTCATCTAATTTTTTTATTCAACCAATATATTGTTTGCTAGCATAAACTCTCGTTTGTTTAACAAAGGCCGTCAGTGCTTTGTTATCATACAACTATGTCGAAATAAAGGCCTATTGTGCGTCATTCGTTACAACTATCATGAAGTACCAAGGCGTCGGCTTGGGTATTAGCAAACTATCGCGAAGAATCAAGGCAGTTGGCGCTGGTTCGATGCAAAATAAGGCATTAGATACACGATCTTCATCACGGAGTTGAGCTTTTGGTTGTTCTGTGGGTGCTGGTTTCGGCTTCAATCGCCCTCTTGGTGATTGTTAGGGCGGAGGTTAGTTGTCTCCGTCCCCCTATGTAACCTTCTCCCCTACCGTTGGGTTGAGGGGATGACCGGCGTGGTCGGGTCATGGTTCGTACTTTGTGTTTTGGACCTGAGTCATCGATGGTGTTGGGTGTGGTTTGAGTTGTGGACCTCTAGTTGCGAGTCTGTGGTTGTCCACCTGGGCTAGGGGTAGGGTCCTTTGGTTTCGTATCTAGTTAGGCGTTGTTCGATAGTTTCTAGATCTGCAACCGGGGTCTTGGCTCTGTCTGTGTGGGTGGTCGGTCGTGGGTGTCACTGTCGTTGTTCGCTTGGAGTGGCTTGCCAGCTGAGGAAAGGGTTATATTCTAGTTTCTAGTGTTTTTAGTGTGTGTTGTTAGTATCATTTTAGTAATATGTTCTTTTCTACCAATTGGAGAGGATTGTCATGGTCAACCGCATTTATTGGGCCACAGTTGGAGAGGTAATTTTCCATCTCAAACATAATGACTTATTTGTGGGAGACATAATTTTATATTTTCTATTTACCCTGTTTTTGTGAATTAAGTATTATTGTGTGTCAATTTCTCTCATTTTGGTGTTTTGCGGACCATTTGGAAAGGTGTCAAAATAAAATTTGAATACCTATCTTCTTTATGGAGCAATTCGTTGTAATTAAATGGAGCATGATTTTTATTACTTATCTTTTGATTAGGTGTACTGAAGCATGATTATTGTGCCTTATATTTTTTATTATGTCAAGTTATCTCATTTTAGTGCAGTGAAGCATGAATTTCATGAAAATGCAAAATTTTAGTGTCTCTGTTTTTGCCTAATTTTATTTACTGAAGTAGAAAGTTGGTAGTTATATAATATGGCAGTTAGACACTTCTTATGAGGTCATGCTTAAGGTGTTAATTAATTAACACAACAAATTGTTGGAGTAATTAGTTTATCTAGTTAAATATACATTATTCATTTATATTGTTTAATCAATTTGAAGTTGGTTAATTATTAAGTCGAGCAAATTGTAGTTATTGTGAAAGAGAACGGACTACGAATACTTCTTATGCTCTTTTGGCATGCCCTGGTAGTTGGTACAAGGACTGCAAAGATGTGTTTCACATTCGTCAAGCGAACGACATTGACCTTGGAGATGGCCCGGCTGGATCGTCCATTCATCAGTCGATCATTCTTGACGAGCCCGAACCAGAACAACCCGAGGAAATGGAGATGAATACGGTCGAGCTTGACCTGGTTGCGGTCGAGGGAGCTGAGACTGGGGATGAAGAAGTGATTGTTGTGGTCGAGGGGGCTAATTTTGGACTCAAACAGAATGAGATGAAGTAAATTGTTGTGGTCGAGGTTGACTAAGCTTGATTGTTGCCGAAAAAATTGGCCTTCTAATATTTTGATGTATATGAACAACTATATTTGTTTGGCTGTGATTTGCTAATGACAATTAAATATGTGCAGTGTGATTTTCTTATATTAGTTGTATGGGATTATGGTAATTAGGTTTGAAGAATGTTTAGGATGCATTACTACTTTTTTTATCAGTCTACTAAACAAAAGATTTGAATTGGGTGTTTGGAAAAAAAAATTGTGGAAGTGCATGTCTACCAAAGTTTGTAAATATGCATGTTTTGTTCCCAAAACAATTAAATTCAAATGGAAATAAAACATGTAGGTGTAATAGATGTTGAGGTAAAACGTAAACGATTTGAAAAGAAAAGGCATACCAATTGAAATTGCAATACGACGAAGCATACATAAGACATTAATTCAAGTCATAAAATCCAAAATAGAATCCTAATAAATAGGTGTTTAATGATAACAAAAAATATCAAACATGCAACAGGTAATTAAGAGTACATGAATGCAAGATTATAAAATGAAAATGAATGCTCAAGTGTGTGGGTCACTTGAGGATCCTTTGCAAGAACCAGACCCAAGCTTTCAAGGAGGACGTGGAATGCACAACAGGGTTTTACTCTCAGCCTTTTGAATGAGAACATGAGTAGTTAAGTTATCGAGCATTCCGAAGACACATCACAAGATGGTACCTTTCCAGCAAAAGTTTGATGAAGCACATTGTGGCGTGACGTGTCAAATACAACATTTGATCTGTTTAGTTGGTCATGCTTATACCCCTCGTTGGTAGAATTTTGGTCAAATACACACGCAACCACCAAAAGGGAAAAAACAAAAATGAACAATAGTTAGAGTTGGACCATCAAAATGATAAAACTTAATTATTTTCCATATAAAAATACAGTTAAAAAAATTAAAATCGACGTGGAAATCAATGCTTAAACGAAGATTGTTTATTTGTAACGTTAAATTACTACCTCGAAGATGTCATCCCAAACCGCAATAGGTGCAGTCAGTACGTTGGAGATAACACAATGACATAAATCATGTTTACGGAGCATCCAACTAAAAACCGTGTAACACTTCAAAAGGAAATCAAAATGTTCCTCGATCTCATCAACAAAAAAAATTTGCACTAAGTTGGGATTTCAATTGATGCCGGCAAAATTGGCGCATAGATTGGCGGACACCCATGCATCCAGTCACCAACAACACGACATTCCATAGGAGGTCCACGAACAAATTGTCGACCACTTTTGTCCAACGGGCATCGTATAGGCATTGTTCTTGTGTCACTTGTCTACCAACAAAATTCATTCTTAAATAGCACGAGAATATACGTAAGTACATTGGACCATTGTAGGATATAAATTAATTTATTAAAATAAAAAAATATTGTACAATATGAAAAATGTTGTGTTCAAACAAAGCATATAAAATGAACCGTTATGAAATGAACCACGCAATCACAAGCTTGAGGTCATATGTTTCATTTTAACAAGAATCTAACATAATTTAATATGTTTAATTTTAATTTGTAATTTTGTAGCATTTTTTTCAAGCATATAAAATCAACCATTATATAAAAATGTTATAACAAATTTAACTATTATATTTCTTCATTGTTTTATTTTTATTTAAACCCTCTAACAATCATTTACTTAATTGAAATTAAAACATTTTGTAAAATTTAAAGCAAGAATAATTGTTATAACAGTTCACTACAATTAAAATATTTTTATAATGCAATTTCTTGAGTAGCCAGCATCTTCGATTATAGAAATAAAATTCATGGTTCATTGAATAAAATTAAACATACTATAAAATTACAACCTTCAAATCTAGCATTTCAATGTTTGGGTCATGTTCCTCAACAAAAGCAAAAAAATAAAAAAATAAAAAAAATTATGAGCAGCTCATAATAGTTGTTACAACAAGGTCGAACATACAACACTACAAATTAAACATAACATCTTTCCAAACATACTACAATATTACAAATTAAACATAACATCCTTGCAAAACTAAAAAAAAAAATCAAGAAAAAACGTAGTGGAGCAAAAAACACTAGAATAAAAAATAAAACATTAAAAAAAATTCACTGTCGGGAAGATTATTTCAAAACGCCGTCCATGACTTGGAATCGGCTCACCAGTTTTCAAGAATTTTGGAATTGATGAACTCTAGTTTTCTCAGAAAAAATCTAAAAATAGTTGGAAAAATCTAGAAATAACAATAGTGGCAAATGTTCCTACCTACCACAATTATTGGAAAAATGATGCAAGTGTAGAATTGAAATTTCAGATTTTGGCCTCGTTTTGTTAACAGCTTTTTGTTTAAAAAATAGCGTTTTCAACCACTTAGCTTGTTTGACCATTTTTATCCGCTAAAAAAATGATTTGGTAAACAGCTTATACAATTAACGTTTTTGGGTCTATCCGCTGAAATGAAATACGCTGCTAATCGAAGCGTTTTCATTAGCGTTTCAATAATAAAAAATAAAAAGCCTTGATTACCCTTGCCCCTTTTTTCTCTCTCATAGCTTCGTTCTACACCCTCTTCGCCCCTTCGATTTGCATCAACAGAGAATCGTTTGCATAATTGTCGAAAAAAATCCACGAGTTGAAGAGAATAAAATTAGATCTACAAGAGGTATGTTAAACTCCAATTCTTTTAATTGAAGAAGTTGCTTGAAATATCCGCCTCCCAAAGGTTTTCTTTTCTTTTTATTTTTTTCTCCAACATCTTTTGAATCCTGATATCTTTTCTTTTCCTGTCACCTGTTTGTTTGCTGTGGATTCTTGTTCACAAAAGTGTTCTTTTTTCTGATCAGGGTTTTGGTTAAAGTGAGTAAAAGGTGANTAAGTTGTTTGCGTACATAGATGCATTTTGTACTCATTCTTTATGCAATTTTCTTTTGGTTTTCTCACTTTTATAATGAAAAAAAAAATTAAGTATTTGTATCCTGTTCTTGGTTAATTCTGTAGTGTGGTCTCCAAATTAGGTATTTTATGATTGGATTAATATATACTCAAACAATATGTAATTTGTGGCTTGGGGCTGTGTTGCCTGAAGACATATATATCTCAAAATAACATATGCATATGCATCAGAAATATCATATGTAATTTATCAAGATATATAATTAATTATGTGTAGTATTACTATTAGTTTGGTACTAAAATAATAGTATTACTATTAACTTTGAGTAAATTCTGTTTAAGAAGTTGCATTGAACGAGCTTTTGGTGTCCTTAAGGCTCGATGGAAGATATTACAGAAAATGCTGAGATATTCATTAATGGATCAAAATAGGATAATTTGTTCATGCACTTCACAATTATTATATTAGGAGAAGCACAATTGGTGATTCGGGCTTTAAAATAATTGATGCGAATCCTGAATTCATACCTCTTGATGTTTTTCAAGATGTTGAAACTGCTCAAGGTGATGGAGAGACGAGGACTCGAGAGATGACCATCGTTTGCAATAACATAGCTTCAAGTTTGACGGCATCTAGACGTTCTTAGAACATTTATTCTTTTCTTTTATTTTTCCCCTTTTTATCTTTTATTTTCATAACACAATTTGTTGTCATTTTAATTATTATTTGTATTTTTATATTAATTTGAATCACTTTACAATAATATATAAAAATCACATTTTCTAAGTATTACAAAGTTAACATAAAAAAAAAAGAAAAAGAAAATTAAAGTTTATGAATGTCCTTTTATGTAATTTTGTATGTTAACAGCCAATTACAAACAGCTAATTTACCAAACACTAATTTTACAAACCGTTAACACAATCAGCTGGTCAAACTGCTAACATAATCCGCTGGCCAAAACAGCTGTCACAATTCGCTAACAGCTAACAGCTAATCGCTGACTGCCAAACAAAGTCTTTATCTTATTTCTAATTCTACCAAACAAATGCAAGAACAAAATAATCACCAATACTATCTAAAAGTTAGTCTTACATAACAAACAAATGACCAATCTAATCTCTAACGTACAATCTTGTCTCTCAAGATAAAAATAATATAATCTCATCTTGGCAAACAAACATGCTCTAAATGCAATAATCGTACTAAGGGTATTTTAGACATTTGAGTTGCCTTTTTTATAATATTTTATAAGAATGTTAATAAGCCTATAAACATTAGAAAAAGGGTAATAGAGGTTACTTAAATAACGAGGCCGTCAAATTTCTTTCTTCAGAAAAAGGATAGCATAAAAGCAGGTTCAATATTTTCTTAATCACAGGAAAATTTGCTTTCTCCCCAAAGTGTGTCATTGTTTTGTTGATCCGAAACACCATGACCAAACAGCAAGCAAACTGGTCTCCCTACGATAACAATGGAGGGTGCGCCTAGCTTAACCCTTATTCGATTTTTCGAACGAAGTAGATCCCTATTTAAATGTTAATACTTAATACGCATGTGTTTGTGCAGGACGTGTGTTGCGATTGCCGGAGCCGACTACTGTGTGATTGCGGCCGACACTCGATTGTCCACTGGATACAGTATTCTTACTCGCGACAGCTCCAAGATTATTCAGCTGTAAGTATATATTTATTGTTTTGGTGTCCATTTCAATCTTGTTGCCGTTTGTTCCACGATTGTTTTTTGCCGTTTCGTTTTGGGTTTAAAATGTCTGTGCTTTTATCCACGTTATTTCTTGGTGGGTAAGTGAATCTGTCATTGAACCTAGTTGAGGAGTGATTTAGTTGTATGCTGTCGAGTGAAAAAACAAATGCTTGAATGGAAAATCACTTTGACCCCTTCTTCTTGTTTTGAAGTGTTTAAAAAGATATAGACTCTACGCTAGGTAAATAAGAGAGGAAAAGATTCATCTTTTCTTCGGTTTTGCATTTTTCTGAAGCTTAAGTTCAAGCACTAAAAGGACAATAGTGTTGTCTTAAGCTTCCAGCTGAAGTTCTTTTTGGCTTCGGCCAAACACTTTTTCTCTTCCATAAAGTAGTTGAGAAATCAGTTTCTATTTGAATAAATTTTAATTGTTATACGGAATTTAAATTTGACATTCATGAGAATTAACTTGTGATACAGTTTCTCGCCCAATTTCCTCAAAACTTAATAGGTCATGCATCTTCGTTATTTCTTTATATATTCACTTATGCCCTCTAAATTCTTCTGGTGTGGATACAAATGTGACCTATGTATTTGTTTATATGACTTTGTAGAGCGGACAAATCTGTGATGGCCTCTTCAGGTTTTCAGGCTGATGTTAGAGCTTTGCAGAAGGTCTTGGCTGCTAGACACTTGGTGAGTTGTTGACACACGTGATACTGAGGCTATGATTAGCTATTTGAATATTCTCCTACTCCTCGCCTTTTCTTTCTCTATTTGCCTCTTAGTGTGCATAAAACACGTCATATGTTTGGGGTCTTGGAGTGTGTAGATGTGTGGGAGTGCTGACCTATCTGTTTCTCTATGTTGTTGACCAGTGTACTGTTTGGTAAGATACTTGTTGAATATTTGTTATGCGTAATCCATTAACATGTTGATGCCTGACATTAGCTAGTGAAAATCTAGCATTTAGGTTATGAATGTAGAAAGAGATTTAGTGGAAACTGCCAATGGCATGTCGTGTCAACTTATAAGTTCTCTGTTTTCTTCAATCTTCATATTTTTGCTCTTCTGGAAAAAAGAAGTGGTGTTACCTATTGACTATGGCAGAAGAGTTTATTTGTCATCTGAATCTGCCATTGAATGACTTTATGCCACTTGCGGGTTGATCTGACGAGAAATGGTCAGAATGTGCAGTCTGGATCCTGTAATTATATTGCATTAAGTTGTATGGTCTGTGACTTGCTTTTGGTCTCGGCCATCGAAGAACTCCCATATTTTGATTGTTCTTCTCAGTCAGAATTTGGATATTAAGTTTAGAATCAAATGTTTGTTTTGTGTGATTATAGCTGCGTCCACACTGAAAAATATAATGCTTCACTGTTATGAACGAAACTCCCAATGACACTCTCATTGATTAAGTATTGAGAGTTACATACATTTAAACTTTTTGGTTGTGTATGGTTGATGTTCCCTCTCACTCCTTTTTATTTTATTCTAAAATAATCAATATCCTATATTCAGCACCCCTTATGTAATTCTGTATATATAACTGGGTAATTCCAGATATTGGATTATCGTTTCTCAGAACTGTTGCTGAAAACTTAATTTTGTTGTTTGATTTCAAGATTTATCAGCACCAACATAACAAGCAAATGAGTTGCCCAGCCATGGCCCAACTGCTGTCTAACACCCTGTACTACAAACGTTTCTTCCCGTATTATTCTTTCAATGTCCTTGGTGGCCTCGACAGTGAGGGTAAGACTATAGGTTATTTCAGCTGAAAGTATTATTTGAAATCTTTGTGTTAATTATTTATCTTCTCTTGATTGTTTCTTTTTTATCCTGAAATTCCTATACAGGAAAAGGCTGTGTCTTCACATATGATGCCGTTGGATCTTATGAGAGGGTGGGGTACAGTGCCCAAGGCTCTGGTGCTACTCTTATCACACCATTTTTGGACAACCAGCTTAAGTCTCCAAGTCCTCTCTTATTGCCTGCTAAGGTTTTGTCTTTACATTGTTCTTCTTGGTCTATTTATTTGTGTATTCCCTTTCTTAAAAAAGTCAAGGAACAGCTTAACAAACGGTTATCGCTACAGGATGCGGTGACTCCACTTTCTGAGTCGGAAGCCATCGACTTGGTGAAAACTTGTTTTGCATCAGCTACAGAAAGAGATATATACACGGTAAGATTGTCTTTTTCTCTGTTCCTCCGCTTAGTTTTGATTTTGAGTTGTAGGGAAAAAAAAAACACTCTTCTTTGTCTTTGGTAATTTTGTTCCCTGTGGAATGTGTTGACAAGTATTGATCTTCAATCCAGCTTTTAACATTTAAATTTGATATTCAAGGACTGAACTATCATATCTGGACTGTTCAGTGTTCTATGTAAAATTGGTTTGAGTGATATGGCAAGCTTATTTGCATGTACAGAAAAGTTGTTTGTGTACTTTCTACAATGTGACAGGTTCAAGCCAGATGCTAATGGTTGCATTTGACAATTGATGTTTTTAATTGGTCATGCCACGCCCCTCAAGTCTCAGAACAAGATCACTGACCTATTATCTACCCGTTTTACTTGCAGTAGAAAGGAATACTGTACTAGTAGATATGTCTATTGTCAATATCAGTAAATATACATCATACAGTTCATCTCCATTACATTACGAAATGGGAATTTAATTCAAAATATGTCTTCAATAGTCTAATCACAAAATGACCTAGCCATCTGTCTGTGCTATAAATATCTCACGCCTCTTTGGTCGATGATAGTTTTTTGTTGCTCATCCCTGCAAAATCAAGCTTTTTTATGATGATGAAGTTGTGGCCTTACCTCATTACTGTTTGGGGATTGTTGCAGGGAGACAAGTTAGAAGTACTTGTACTGAATGCTAGCGGTATACGGCGTGAGTTCATGGAGCTTAGGAAAGACTAATGTCCAGCAGCTTCTGACTTCCCTTGCCCTACCTATTTATATCTTGAGCGGTAGACGACTGCCAGTTTGTGTTTTTGTTGTCTGATGGCACTTCAATGACATTTGTTACATCCAACTTGAATCTTCATGCACTATTATTTAATATGGTGGTGTTGAGACATCTGTACTAGAAACATGGGTCTTTCTGTTGCGTTTTTATGTGTTTTTTATGATTCTATGAACTGTCATTAATGCTACATTTTGGCGTTTTCAACAAAAGAACTGGGTAAGAAAATGGACAGGGGATATCACATAATGTGTTGAAAATGTCTTTAATAAAATAGGCTGGTTTTACTTCACATAGATTAAGAAATCACCAAACATTGTTGGAGAACTGAAAAGTTTAGACATTGGTAGCTGTCCTTTAGAAAGTATTACAGATTAATGGTTAGATTTTGTTAGCCATTCAATCCAACTGAGTTCGTTGTTTTTTTTTTTTCCTTGAGATGGAGATTCCTAATTTCTACGTCTGGCCACGGGCAATCTATTAGTATGCTTATGACATCTTTTGACAAATCGAGAATCATAAAGATAAAAGTTGCTAGTTATAAAACCTGAACATGAATATCAAAACTCAGAATTTAGAATTAGCATAACACCAGGTACACTAAAAGAACTTCATCCGCCCCAAATTATGTCTGGACCATGTTCATCATGCGAGAGAGATACATGTAATCCAAGGTTGGCTTCTAACGTTTGCGGACACCAACCAATTCAATATCATACACAAGCCACGAATCTGGTGGCACATTCTCAACGGCTCCATGTTTCCCGGAACTGCACCAAATATTGCAAGATTAAGATTTGACATTGAAAATGTGATAATTTTTGCAGCAATAATGATTCTGAACCTATAAGTACATAATAACAGCATCAATGCTTAGAAAATTCATAAAATATACCCTATGGGTGGTGGGATTACGAGTCGTCTCTTGTCACCCACATGCATACCTGCACAGATCAAGAGACTGTTAACACAAAAGTTAAAGCTGTTAACATTATCAGTTTCCTGAGGCCAAAAAGGAAAAAAAAGAAAGAAGAAGAAGAAACTTTTAGTTACCATCGATGCCAAGATTCCATCCTTCCATAATTCCCTCATCACCTGAATGAAGAATGAAAGCATGAAACATATGAACAGAGCCTTTGATTTGACCTAATCATAAAATCAACCTAAAAATATATTATATTTAAAATAACCCCTTCATAATTGTTTCTATTTTTATAAATTTCAGGAATATCTAAGTGAATGACCATGGTGGAAATGAAACGAGCAAGCCATAGATATTGTACAACATTCAAATCTGTACCTAAACGGAACTTGAAGGCACTTTTGCCCACATTTGAGTCAATTATATTTCCATTCTCCCTCAGCATGGCAGTGTAATAAATTTTTACCTGATCCAACAATCATTTACTTGTTAATAGGCAGCATGATCAGAAATAAACCCAAAACAATTCAAGTAAGCAAACTCTAAGAAGATTTGCATAAAAATACCTTCTTTCCCGGTGCAGCAACTTTTCCATCCAGTGGTCCTTTTGTCAACTCCTCAATAATCAACCCATTTGATAAGGTCCTCTTTGGACTCCGCATTTCATTTTCATGTGCAGTTTGTTCCTCAATTTTCATGGATGTGTTGTTTTGATCATCTGTTGTGCTAGGCAAGTCTAAGCCAGAATCTCCTTGAAATCGAGTTTTCTTGTTTTTCTTTTTCTTAATTTTTTTCTCTGGTTGGTTAACATTATCAAGTAGCTCGGATTTTGTACTGACAGTGCTGCAGGTAAAACTTTTCGTTAGAAAACCACAAAATTTTTCTGTTATTAAAATTGGGGATAATAGAAGGCTAAAGTGTCTTCAAAGTAGAAAACCTTAACCTATTTCCCCAAAAGCTACCAAATGTTTCCCATCAGCCCAGGTTCAATCATTTCAGCAATTCTCCTATTAAATTTTATTGTTCAGAAAGTAATTTCAAATCACCGAGAATAAACAAATAAAAATAGTATCCTCAAGAGGGTAAAATCCTACCACCCTCATCTGGTCATACTTATAAATTCCATGACAATTTAACAAAAGCCTCACAAAATAAAACAGAAGATAAAAGATAAATTATATACTGACTTGTCAACTTTTTGTTCCTGATCGCCATTTTCTGCTGGCCTATCATGCTTATTATGACATTTCACGTCAGGCCCATCACTGAATGTCCCCTTCAACTGGTGTCCTTTTTTCCTCTTTTTTGATTTTTCACAATCTTCAGAGACTGAATCTAGAGGAGGTAACAAACAGTCTCCAACTTCCCTGATTAAATATGCATTTTGGTTATACCTTGATCCTGTCACTGCAGGAGAAAAATGGTGCAGCAATAAACAGATTACTATTTAAGGATCAAAGAAAATAACACCCTTACAAATTTGTGCCTTCACCCTGAACATCAAAGGCCTTCTCAGTTCCCGGGTGGTCTTTTCTCTTCCTTCGAGTTTTTCCTCTGAGGTACAAAACAGATCATGGCAAGTTAGATACGTGCATAACCTAACAGTTAACGAACAATAGATAGATATATAGCAGCTTCCACATGTGCAAATAAATTAGTATATCAACTCATCCATAGTTCTTCACATGTAGGGGACTGGGCCGAAATTGAAAATGGGGAAGCGAAAAAAAAAGAAAAAAAAGGAAAAAACTGTGTATGCTAAGGACAATTTATGGCTTCATTACCTTTCTGGTTTTCCATGTTCATCCTCAAAATCAACATTTTTCTCTGATTTTTTGCTACTCACACCCCCGTTTTCCAAATTTTCAGCCTTTTGGACTGTTGCCTGATCAATATATCCAGCATCGGTGGAATTTTTCTTTGCATCTTTTTTACTCATAAATACAGATAAAAGGCAGCCATCTTCATCTACACTTTCACATGTGTTAGCCTCATCATCTGACTCAACAACCTGAGCTTTCTTCCTGAGTCGCTTGCCACAACCCTTTCTGCTCTTCACCTCATCCATCTCTGTCATTAACACAATTTTCAGAAAATAAAGACATTAAGCATAAATAACTGGGAAAAATATGGAAAAAGTGAATGCCTTTCACAAAGTGATAGAAATATAGGAATTTAGGAGTTGGCTTTACCAAAATAAGGCTCCATGTATAGGAAATTTTGTCAATTACTCACGTATGAATCAAATTCATACACCTTGACAAGATATTAAATCATGACAGAAAGAACTAGCCATAGAACTACACCTTTGCTGCTTGAGACAGGGGATGGTGAACGAAATTTTATCTCGTCATCATCAATGAAACTGTCCTCGTATTTGTCATCTTCGCTACCGTAACTTGATTTTTCTGTGAGGCTATCTTCAATATCCACGCCATATGATTCTCTATCGAGTCAAAGTAAAGGAATCCTATAATTCTCCACGTGCAAACTAAATATAAAGTTAACAAAAGCAACACAGTTCCTGCCAAAAAAAATCGCAAAACTGTAACAGAAATACCATAAGATGTATTGGGCTATTTTCGAAAATAGCAATCATTGACATTTTAAAGAAAATTAGAGTAATTGGCCATATTGTAAAAAAATTGCAAGGACTTCATAAGAATCAAAAGCATGGAAAACTGAAAAGGATACGTATCACTATGGGGATTGGACGGTTGACTTTTAGAGACGTAATAGCCGGTGAGGTACACACTTCGGGGGCCAACAACAGAAAATACAACATCATCGGCCTCCTCAAATTCCAGATCCAGGTGGCAAGACTCGGTTAGGTTGGGAAGCAAAACACAGAGTAGAACTGGACTTCTTTTACCCACATTGCACTGGACTATACTCTTTTCCTTAGCACCACCGATACCCAGAGTGGCCTAAAAAATTAAATAACAACCCATTACAGTGATGAAAAGTCCATATCAAATTTGAGAAAAATATCGCCCAAGGAGAAACAACTAAGACCACATGAAGTGAATTACATTTTCTAGCCATTATATCCCAAATTCTGAGAATCAATAAAAGTTTTGGCAACAGAAAGATACCTACCAGAGGACAAGACCCCCTTTCAAACCCATTGGAATGATCTAAATTGGATGCTCATAATGAACTCCATAAATCAGCAGCACAGCATATAAAAGCATGATGTTGACACAAAGTAGCATATCCCATCTAAATGCAAAGAAAAAATAAATTAATAAACTGAATTTAATACCTGGGAGACTCGTAGCCTTCCTCGAGCCTTTTCGGTTGAATGGACGACAGGCTTCCAAGGTTTCACCTCAATACCTGAAACACAAAAAACAATAATATTGAAAATAAAAAAAAAATACTCAAAATAAAAAAACAATTTGTTCGGTAAAATAGGCAAGGCCACATGATATTCAAGCATACAAGAAACCCTACTTGAAAAATTCGAGCATAAAAGAAAAACTACTTGATACGTATTAGAATGTTGCAATCTTAGGCAGACGAAAAAACTAAATGCGCAGTAAAAACACAAATACACAAGAAGAAAAACAGAGGAAAATGTGACTGAGGATGAGAGCATATGTGCTCACCCCAGAAAGCCATAGCTCAAACAAGATTCAGGCTTTGATTGAACCACGGTTGAGCAGAAATCGTACTCTCTCTCTTCCTCTCCTACTTCTACCCCTCTTTAAACCCTAACGAATGAAGATCGTGAGTACCATAAAAAAAACTACCTTTTATAGAAAATGTACTATAAGCGGGAGTAGTTATTTAAATTAGCTGTCTGGTCCTCAGCAATTATATGAGTTCCAAGTTTCAATCCCTTGCTGTACATGCATTCATATATCACTAGTACGTATTTGTGCGATGTACGAGACAGAGATATTAAATTAGTTATTTTTACACCCTTGTCCGTTTAAGTCTAAAAAATAATAGGGTTATTTTTTTAGCCAGAACATTAAATATGAGCATATTAGGGCTAGCTTGTAAAATAATTAATATATTATCTCAGTAAAACATTTATACTAATAAAAATTTAATTTTAGCATATAAATTTATCTCTTGATATAAGAGAAAGTAACAGTTTTACTTATTGTTGTTCACTATATAACATTTAATTATTATTTTATTATATAATAAAAAGAAATATTGTTAAATAGTGTAGTAGAATTGTTATAAAATTATATGAATTATTTTTTTTACAATATGGATTTAGTATCTTTTCATGATTTGATAATATAACTATAATATATTCTTAATGATACAATCTGAAATCGGATTACAGAATTTCAATACATAAATAATAAATTTTTTGGTAAAAAGATAAGAGGAAATTTCAATTTCAATCTACAAAAAGTTTAAAACGATTTTATGGGATTTTGTTGACTAAACGGATTGTATGGGATAAAAAAAATAGAAGATAAGAAGGAAATTTCAAATATACAAAAAATTAAAGCTGATTTTGTGGGATTTTTTCGCAGGAAAACCGATTGTATGGGAATAGTAATAGCATTAATTGAATCGCATAGCATTAATTTCAATATAAAATAATTAAATAAAATAGATGCTGGAAATAGTAATAGCATTAATTGTAGTTGACTTTTCTGGATACTATTTGTAGTAAATAGGATCCCTTTTTATATAAGTATAGATTCCATCAATTGTATCATTTATGTTATAATCATTTATTTTATAATAATTAAAGATAATTATTGATAGTTATAAATAGATGGATAGTAAATACAAATATATGTATGCTACTGATCGATTTTAAAGTTACAAATTATTATAAGATGTGAGTGAAAAAAAAAATATTAATCGAAATGAATTAATCAATTAAAATGAGAATGAATACATTTCCCCTGCACCAATAGTTCTAGTTCTCCCTGTCTTTTCAACTGTCAATTATGGCAAAATACCTTGTTATATCACGACCTTTTCTCAAATTGCTAAAACATCATGACCTTTGAACCTTGGCAGAGAATATCACAACCTTTGATATATTTGCAAAACGATACTCAACAGTCGGAGACCGGCCATCGGTGCTTACGTGTCCGACGTTAATTTATGACATGGAATTGAAAAAAAAAAGGACGCAGAAATGTTTTTCCACGTGTGCAATGACATGGGACGGACTATAAATACTGAAAAATCATATTAAATCGATTCTTCTTCTTTCACTGAGAAAAAGAATCCTCTTTCAAAAAACCCTAAATCTCCGCTTCCTTTGATTGTAAAATGCTATGGGTCCCCCAAGGTGGAATCTTCCTTCAACATCGGACAACAGGTGAGTCAATCCATCGTTCTTTTTTTTTTTTTTTATGTTCTTGTTGGGAAATTGAATAATGTTGTCTGCAAAGAATGTGCGATGCAATTTGATATTATGAATATGCAATTGTATATTTTGTTTGCTGTGATTGTGCCATGAAATTTGTTATTATGAATCTGCGAATAATGTTCATTAATGGAATATGGTTTAGGGTAAAGTGATGTTAGGGTTTTTTTATTTGAATTTCATTTTGTTTTTTTTTCTTTTCCAATATGCAGAAATGATTTTGCGCTTTTTATACACCATGGGGGAAGATTTGTAACTATTGAGAACACTAAGGAGTATTTTGGAGGTGATGATTCTTTTAGATATGGGCTTGATGATAGGTTTGGTTATTTTGACCTTGAGGAAGAAGTTAAGAAAGTAGGATATAGTGAATGAGCTAGTCTTCACTACAAGATTCCAGGGACATTTGATTTCAAAATCATTCATAATGATAAGGAGGTGATGAAAATGATTGTTGTACTGCAGACAATGCAACATTATGTTCATATTTATGTGGAAGGTGGTAAGAAAAATGAACCTTCAACAGGGAAGAAGGGTGTTGTTCTGAGAATGAGGATGAGCATGAGAATTCAGGAAAGAATGCAGTCTGTTCTCAGAGTGAGAATGAGGATGCCAATGATAAATCTGATGAGCATCCAAGGAATAATGTTTCTGGTTCTGAGGAAGATATCAATGATTGTATTGATAATTTTATCATTGGAGTTCAAGATGAGCTTGAGCAGCCTGAAAGAGAAGAACCTACAAGGAGAGTTGTTTCTGCTTCTGAAGATGAGGTTGAAGATGATGACTACACACCTGAGGAAGAGAGTTCTAGTTCAGATAGGCTATCAGCTGATGAACTTGGCATTGATGATAAAGAATATTTAAATGCAAGAAGTGAAAGATCTGCACTTAGAACAAATGTACCTCCTGAGAATGACCAACATGTGAACTTTCTTTCAGAACATCATGAGAGTTTGTTTGAAAGTCTGTTGCAGACAGCAAGAGAAGAGGCTTCTGACTATGAAGACTCTCAAGATGAAATCAACACTGATTCATCCAGCTTTGAGGGGCCTAGTGGTGATGATGAAGAGCTTGGGAGGAAGAAAAGAACAAAGGCTCTGTTGTATGATCCTAAATGTAACCACAACACTTTCAAATTTCAATTGGGTATGAGATTTGAAAGTGTTTCCCAATGTAGAGATGTCATTCAAACATATATTCAAATATGGAAAAGCTCTGCTATTCAAATTGAGGCCAAATGTATGGAGAGTTGTCCTTGTAAGCTATATGCAAGCAGAATAAAATCATAGGCAGAATAGGCATCAAAATATTGGTGGCTAATCACAGTTGTTCTAGGGACATGAGGACCAGACAAGCTAATGTCAATGGGTTGCAAAGGAGTATTTGAACAAGTTCAGAAAAAAACCAAGAATGAAAATTGTTGACCTTGAGGATGATATCCTACAGAGGTTTGGTGTCCATCCATCTAAGTGGGTTCTCTACAGAGGTAAGTACAGCGCCTTGAGGTTGCTGAGGGGCTCAGGACAAAAAAATTATGCATGTTTTAGAGGATATATGGCTGAGTTAAAAAGGGTTGACAGAGGTGGCAGATTTGAGTTTTGGTTAGATGAGGAATCTGTTTTTAAGAGTTTCTATATTGGTTTCAGTGCTTTGAGAAAGGGTTCTTTTTAATGGATGTAGACCCATTATTGGTTTAGATGGATGTTTTTTGAAGACAATGTCTGGTGGTATTTTTTCTTCTATGTGCTGTTGGAAAAGATGGAAACAATCAGATTTTTTCATTGGCATGGGAAGTGATGGTATCAGAAAATGAAGAATGTTGGAAATGGTTTGTGAGAATACTCATGCAAGAGTTGTGCATCATTGATGGGTTAAGGTGGACTTTTATTTCTGACCAACAAAAGGTAAGCTAATCTTATATTATTTTCTTAGTAAATTTTGTCACTTATTCACTGCATTTATTGTATTCACTCTAACTACTTTTAACTGTGTAGGGCCTCCTCAATGCCATCAAATATTTGGCACCATTTGTAGAGCATAGAAACTGTGTCAGACACATTTACATGAACTGGAAGAAAACACACAAGGGGCAAGCTCTGAAAAATAGATTTTGTGCCAAATACAAGGGCTTCAACAAGTGGTACTAGGGCTAACAACAACAAGAAAAGAAGTGGCTCAAGTGTTGAGGAAATCTGTGGAACTCACGAGAGTGTGAACGAACAATCCAAAGTTCAGAAGAAGTAGTACTGGGAGTTATGTTTGTGATGTTGATCTGTGGAACTCAAGACAATCTCTATTTTGTTACTTGATAGTTTGTGTTGTCTAAGAACAAGGATTATGTTTGTGGTGTTGATTTGTACACTGGAATTATGGTTTGTTTTGTTGTTTTCCTATGATTCGGGTGTATGGTCTAAAAACATCATATTGGTGAAACTTTTGGAATGTTAAGGAAAGGTAAATTCAAGTTCATCTTCATTTCATTCTAGCTTGTTTGTATAATCTATACATGAACCTTGTTTATACTCAATGAAACTTTCTCATACAATTAGCTTAATCCAATAGGAACTGACAACAGGCTGACCAAAGTAAAGTTAAATACAGAGTTATCTTATTATTGTGCAAGATAAAAATGATTCATGTATAATATTCATTTCACATACTTACAAGTGCCTTAAAGCTCACACTTTGCTCATTATATAGTAAAATAGAAACTCTCTTCATCATACCATCATCTTCACCAAAATAAATCAACATCAACATACTTAAACACAACTTCAAATAACATAACAACAAGAACCAAGTGTCTCCAAGTACAAACAAACAACAAACTCTGTTTGTTACAAAACCAAAACAAAGAACAAGCAATAAGAACCTAGTGTCTCCAACTAAACACAACAACATTTTTGATACAACATATCATCATATTTTCTCCAAACCAACACAAAACATTTATCTCCAACAACTTCATCTTCTCCACTTAAGCATCAACCCATCATCAAGCAACCACACACAAGAAGAACAAAGAGACACAAAAACAATAATAATTTCTTTTCTTTTCTTCCCTTTTCACAAGTGTCGGTCACCTTCTTCTCCAATTCATCATTCTCGATTTTCAACAAATCCATCTCCTTAACCTTCATTTCTAACATTTCATTCAATAGTTTCTCCACAACTTGTTTGCATCTCAATTGCTCTTTAAGGGACTTTACTTGACTTTTCAACTTCAAATAGCACCCTTTCTGATAAGGTGGAAGTTCAGGATCCAACCAAACAAAATAACGACAATCTGCGTCCTAAAAAAAGGGTAAAAATACTTGCAAATTAATACTTGCTGGGTAGAATCTCACATTTCGAAGATCAAATGAAAAACCTCACTTGCTGGGTAGAACCTCACAATCTTATTCCTAAAAAAATCAACT